CTTTTTTCGTGGAATTCTACCTCTCAGTCCAACATCTGTTAATCTTCTGATTGTTCCTGAACTGACAGAAACACCAGCATCATTCAGACCACTTCTGATGGCCGCTGATGACATTTTTTTATCTTGGAGACATAGTCTTTTTATTCTTCTGTCATCAATAGATGTGGTGCACCTTTTTCAGCCTTTCCTTGCTTGTTTTTTATTGAATTTGTCTCCTTATATCGTAAACAAAACTTTCGGACTCCAGATGTAATCACTGAACCACCCACCTGCCTTGCAATTTGAGCATAGGAAAGACCACTTTCTCGTAACACAATAATATTACATCTCTTTCTAGGTGTCCAATCTACTCTTTTATTTGATGTCATTGCTTCTTGACTAAATATTAAAAATTTTTACAAAAATTCCTACTTGTAATTGCAGTGTATAAGAACAGGTCCTCCTTCTACAGAACAAAGCAAAATAATGAATTGTTTCAAGTGTAAACATGATGTCAGCTTTCTATTACTGGCAGTTACTGACATTTGATTGGTTTTCCTGAACAAGAACAGTGATTGGCCAGGAAAGCTAGACATTACAAACCACTTCATAACTTGTGTAAATATATATATATTATATATATATATATAGATATATATAGATAATATATATATATATATATAAAAAGTAGGTATACTTTTTTGTATTGCAAATAATTGGATTTTGTGTTTTGTATTGAATTCAGTAATAAATTCTCTTTAAAATGATATATACAAGTTTGCATTTTGCGAAACGTAACATTTTCTATAAGCATACAAAGTTCAAAAACATAAAAATTTCCAAAAGTGTCCACAATTTTGGCCACCACTGTATATGTTTGTGCGGTTATCTTGAATAAGAACATAGTAGAGCACAACTTAAGCATAATTAACTGCTTTATTTTACTAATATGAAATAAAATATATAAAAGGTAAGTTAAGTAAAAGTTAATAGTTCATGTGGCAGGTAATCTCACAATAATGAAATAAGTGGATCCGATTAACATAACGGTGACTAATATTTCTCACACATTATCAGTCCTCAATAAATACATTCAAAGGCACATCTTACCCTCATGTGGCTAGCTATAGACAAACACCATCCACTTGGACCACAAGGAACTTGAGCCTCCAAAGAAACCGTCTGTTTCCCACCGTCTTGTAGTCGTTTGCAAGCTGCACTAAGCTGTGATGACGTTACGCCTTGCTGGGTAGAAGTAGAAGTAGTCGAAGAATCTACCTCCATATATATATGGGTAGGCCTTCTACAATGTGGTTGATATATTCTCTGAAAATACTGCATTGTGGGTAATTGCGTTATAGGAGACAGAACTTAATACAAAAACTGGGATGCTGAATGATTTAGAAACAATAAATGAGCTTCTTAATAATTTTTAGTTTTAATTTTAGTTTTTTTAACAATGAATCCATTTGACATAAATTAAACATACTGTAATTTATTTTACTATATTAATCATGTATATAGATTAAACTTCAGCCTCATTGCATAAAAAATTGTTAATTAAATAATCTGGGCATGGCAAGAAGTTGCCAAATGTGTAGCGAATGGGAGGAACCAAACAACTGCAGGCAATTTGGTGTGTATGAATAATTTGAAGGGCAGAGTGAAAAAACTGAGAAAGGTCATTCTACCATTGTAAATTGTCATGAAGTACAGTGTACGTGACATCGTCATGAAGTATAGTGTATGTGACATTGTCTTGAAGTATAGTGTACATGACGATGAAAATGACACATTTATGGGCACTCAGCCCACTTTAATTAAAGTCTGGGTTGGGTTGTACTCTTACAGGGAATTAATGTATTCATGCTCAGAATGTCTACATAAGATTACAATACTGGAAAAGCAAGGAAGCCACAGTTGTCATACAAAGGTAATGCACTTGGTCACAAGGGAACAATTAGAATGAATGTGTATCCCTAGCAGTTTCTAGAACACCTGTCTAGTGATAGGTTTCTACTTTCTACACTGGCACGATGTGTTGGTTAAAGGTGTATTCAACTGGAGACTAGGGGGAGCCAGCACACATTTCCTAAATCACGTTGTAAAAGTACTGCATTGTAAGAAAATTTACGCATTTTTCTAACTACGCTGGAGGGAAAACGCATTGTAAAGGTATCATGTTGTAGGAGGCCTACCTGTGTATATATATATGTCTGTGTGTTTGTGATATATATATATATATTGTTACGAATTTGGTATTTAAAAAGCTAATGTTAGTTCAATTATAAATTAAATGGTTTTATTTCTCGCGCAGTGCAGCACGTGACGAATATTAAAAGAAAGCTAAGCCAGAAAATTGAAAATACAAGAGCCCGTGCATTAAATAAATAAATATCTCTTTTTGATTTCGAGAAAGTACTGGAAAATTCTAGCGCGTGATTTTAAAATGTTATAAAAGGAGGAAAACATCTCAGTTTCGTAGTAGTTGCTTAGTTTGTTTTGTTGTTTAGAAAACTGCTCTTGTTGATTGTAGCGAATTCGCGGATTAGCGTTCTTTAGCTGTTTTGAATTACGTTCTATTGGACATTTGAGTAGTTAAAAGATAACTACTGTGAGATATTGTAATACTGCATGATAATTTGAGAAAATTTAAGCATTTTTGTTGTGATAATAATAAATTTTTGTTCATTTTTCATCGGACTTGTGCATTCATTTCATAACGAACCCGTACGCACGCAACAATATATATATATATAATTTAAAGTAAAGTAGAAAGAACAAACAATAAAAGACCTATGTGGTCAAAATTATAGAAGAAACTCATTGGGTAAAAAAATAAAAAAAAAAAGGAACTCATGGTATTTTTCTTAGATGTTGATAAATTGTACATTTTTTGCTTTAAAAGTAATTGAATTATGTTGTTCTTATGTTCCGTTTAAGCATTTTATGCTTTAGTTAATCAGCATAGTTATTGATCATGCAGTAGTTATTGATTTATCAAGAATTTAAAAATGTTGTGAGGCATAAAAAGGCCTCCATTTGTTTGCACTTGAAACTCTTGGTAAAATAATTATTAAATCTGATTGTGTGCCAACTTTCATATCTTTTTGTCTACTGGGACCAAAAGTTGACTTTCCATTGCGTGCAACAAAAATTTTGCTTTTTGCCCCATCCTCCAAATTGCATGTTTTAGCGATGAGACTAATTTTATTTGTAAAAATTGTATTTTTTTAAACTATATTCATTTGTTTAAATTTTTCTATATTTTACTGTTTTTAGTGAAGATGTTTTGAGTTTATGTATTTTTGCCTTGTCACAAAGTGAGAACTGAATTGATTGAATGAATATATCACTAATGAAATTTGAGGAAATAAGTTTAAATAGAGTGTGGCAAAGTGTGTGTATAATTTAATAGAGTGTACAAGGAATTCATGTGGTCATCAGATTTAAAAAAAAAAAAAATTTGTTTTATATATAGGTAAATTTTGTTATTAACTACTCATTACTATTAATTACTAATTACTCTTAATCTTGAATTACAAACTATCAATCCATCATTATTATTATTATTGAATTTTTAATAACTGCATAACAATGCTACAATATTTAAAAAAATTATGAAATAATACTAATGAAATCTTGTTCTGCTACTTAGGTTAGATCTCCTCTGAGATCTTTTTTTTTCCTAACTTCACTTCTTTAAACAATTTATTCAAATTAATTATATAATGATCTAAATAAATGAAAGTAACAATATTTTTTCACATTTAAATATTTCTAGTTTCTTTTCTCTGAAATTCCCTAGTATTTATTTATTTCTAGTAAAATGCCTCTCAGATAGAACATAAGTTTTAAGATATATAAGTAAGTATAAGTAAGATTACCATTCATCAATTACTTAATAACTGTAAAAATTCTTTCAAGCTATAGAATATTTTAATTTTATATTATGTTATCTAAATGTTGTTGTTATTTAAAAAATATTTTCATTGCCAATAGCCTCTTTCTGCTGTGAATGTAAGGAGTTAGTTATTTTTTTTGCATTCCTAAAAATTCATTATATATATATATATATATATATACCAGCATTTTTTTTTTTTTTTTTTTTTTTTTTTTTTTTTTTTTTTTTACTTATAAATATTTTGGATGTCTTTTGGGAACAGGATTGAAATTAAAAATGGTTGATGGCCCATGAAATAAAAGAACAAAATTATATTCTCAAATGCAAAATTTTTAATTTACGTATGTACTGATTTTGGGTGTTTAATGTATTAAACACACAGATATATATTTTCATGCATGTACTATATTGGGGTTTGTGAAATGTGTCACAAATTCCAATATAGTGCATGCAAGAATTGTAATTTTTTGCCTTAAAAGGTTATTTGTGGCCTGCAGCTTTCTCTGCTACAAACTTTTGATTGTAAATAAGTAAAATAGTAGTTGATATTCAAATGCAAAATACTTTACTTTTCAAGTGGAATTAGATATCATCTAGGAAATGAGCTAGCAGATACTTTTAGATTGCAAAAATTTTCCTCCCTTGCTTTCGAGAAATTGTACAAATGAAATTTCAAAAGGTTTAGAATTTTTTTTGTGAATTTGCTCTCAAGAAGTTAATTAATTACTTATCATTATATATTTGAACTTTCGTAAGCGGTTAAATGCTTTCATTTAGACTGTTTGATGTACACATTGGGTACTTGGGTACACTGTTGGGTGTATCAACTAACCTCCACCCCGCCCCCCAAAAAAAACATGACCAAAGGAAACTGGTCACTTTTTTATATTCAAATGTATTATTTAAGCTTTTTATTTTTCAAATGTATTATTTATCCTCCATGAATAACTGCCTTAATTAACTAATGATCATATTAATTGAAATTGACTCTAAAATTCTTCGCATCATTTAGCTTTTACATAAGTTTCTTTATAAGAATTTAATTAATAAATTTTTATATTTATCATTTTGAGTTAATATAAATTGTATGATTTTAATGCATGCAATTTATTTATAGAAAATCTGATAAATGAAGATATGAAGATGGCAATTTCTACCACTGTTAATCTTCGTCAACAACTTCTGAATGATTTGAGACAAGGTAATATTAGTATTCCCAAAGAACTTATAACGAATATTCAGAAGGTAGGAATAGAATGTGTACAGAATGAATACGAACAATATTTATCTAAATTGTTCGAGAACATATGGAGAGAACGAACACTGCAAATGGACATAATAAATTTAAAACTGAATCTCTGAATCAGTTTTCTTGATATATTTCTGCAGGCAGTAATTGATATATCTCTTTGTTATATATATATATATATGTGTGTGAAAAAATAATGTAAGTTATGTAAATAAATAAAAATAATATTTTTTTAATTTTGCTGTATCTGTTGCTTTTGGAGTCCATTTTAAATTATGGTTATTTTCCTTCTACATGTAACTTAAATTAATAAATAAGAGAGTTGAAAAAATTGTAATTATAGTTCAATTTCAATTATTCAAACTCCAGATATCTGAATATGTAATCATTCATATTCCCTTTTTTATTATTATTTAAATGAAGTTATTCTTATTTGTCATTAATTAATTTTTTCCTTTACTTAAATAATGTTGCGGTGCATATTTTTTTTAAACTATTGAATTAATTTCAATAATTTTTAAATGTAGATAAATGTGTACAACCTGTAGAATCACCTGCGTTTAGCAAGTGTGGAACCTCTAAACATTTATCAAAAAGAAGTAGATTACAAATAGAACATACAGAACAACATCCCAATAAGAACTATTTTTATTCGTATTTTTCAGACTTCTCGGATAATTTTAGTTAGCAAATCTCTGAGCCAGTTCAGAAATCACTTCAGCTCAGAATCCAAAAATTAAGTGATAGCAATTAGAGGAATAAAAGGTTTCTGGGCCAAAATCCAGTCCTTTAGCAAAAAATGTATTAGTAAGCACTTATCATAAGTTTAAGATCAAGTCAAAGACTTAACGTTCTTGAAGGATCTTGATGAACGTTATTGAAAGTTATTTTCCAAGTGAAGTTTGCTGCAAAAGAGCAAATAATTTCAACACTGAAATGTAATAATATGTGCTCTTCATTTTACACTGGATGACTATATACAAGATCTAAAGACAGAATTGCTTAGTGCAACTCCTAAAATGCTGCTGAAAGCCAATGCTGTTCCTGTTTTACATCTTCCATCATCATCACATGAAAATAATTCCCTAAAGCAAATAAATTATATATGTTGTACTTCAAAAACTGAAGTCAGTGTGGAGAAAAAGATTTCTGATAATAATGATTCATCCAGATTTATGCTAGGAATAGGGCAAGCAGGTATCGGCTTATGAAACAAGGAAAAGGAAGAGCAAGCAGGTGACAAACTCATAAAACAAGAAACGAGCTTTGGAAAATTAGCTTCCCTTTCCCCAAAAAGAAAAAGGTAGAGACATCTAGTGATACGTTTGAATTAGCTTAAGACATGAAGATGCTGGAAAATAAGAGATTAAATAAATATGTTGTGTTGTCAACTAAAAATGCAAAAGAAAATTGTTTTTACTGAACCTTTTACTGCTTCTGGTAAAAGACTACATAGCTTTCAGAAAATGAAGATTAACAAGCAAGCATGTGAAGTTAAAAAAAGAAAAAATCAGGAACAATTTTCTCATACCAAATTTGTTTTCTGAGATCAAAGGAAAATTGTTAAGTGAAATGCAGATGATATTTGCAAAACTACAACATTAAAGGCAGTATCCTGAAGATGATGCAATTACCTTAGACAAAAAATAGGGTTACCATTTCCTACGATTTCGATTTTTAAGAGATTGATTTTTCATTGTTCTCTTGGTTTGTTATGTGATGAGCTTAAGGTTATGCATACTGAGGCATTAAGATGACAAACCAAGAACATATGTGTGTTCTTTCATCTGATGGAATGAAAGTGCAATAGAATCTGGTATGACCAAGCAGAGGAAAGATTGTGGCTCCATATAGAAATCTTCAACTGGTAACCGTGTTAAAAATGCCCCATAGAAACCGTTTTATGGGTATCCATGGAATTTTACTTGTCTACTGGTTTTTCCTACTGGTATCAAAATGTGTGACAGAAGCCAGTAAAACTTCCTAATGGTACCCACAGAATTCTACTGATCTCTGTAGTGGTTTTTCTTACTGTTATCAATTGGTACTTATACAATCAACCTCAATTTCAATACAACTTTGTATTGGTTTATACTGACTTTTGCTGATTTTCGTACTGGTGTTGACAGAATTATATTGATACCAACACAATCGAAATGTATGTCACTAGACTTTCTATTGATTTATATGGGTTTATACGAATTTTCTAACTGACATCAATAGACCTCTTATAAACAATGAAGGAAATTCTTATAAACGATTTCCCAATATAAATGTCATTAAATAAGTTATTACTTCATCATTTTAACATTTGCATTGAGGTTATTGAGCCCTCATTTTAAAATTACTGATTATGCTGTGTAAGTTTTCAGATATTTTGTGATTTTGTTTTTAATCATAAAGATTTTTTTAAATTTTAAAATGTGTGCTTCTTGCACGATAATTTATATTTGCTATTTTTTAAGCGAAACATTTAATTAGAATTTCATATTTGGTTTTTATAAGATAAAGTGCAAGTCCTTTGTTAAAAATTTCATAGCTCGTCATTGGATGTAATGCTAAAATTTTTGGGAAGCACTGAAATACATGTTATGCAAATTTATTTTCATTCAGAAGTTTCAGTGGAATAAAGAAAGCATAGCAAGAACATGAAGCTGTTGAAATCTTATTGTAATTTCTCTGAAAATTCTGTTCAATGTAGCAACAATTCTTTCTCAGTTCAATTTTGGATAATAATTCAGAATCTTATGATTTTTCACCTCTGCAATGATCGAGCAGATAAGATGGCTCAATATTAGTGATTTGATCTGCTCAAAATAAAATAGCCAATTTCCAGGTCCTAAACTTTCGAAAAATTCTGTTCAATGTAGCAACAATTCTTTCTCAGTTCAATTTTGGATAATAATTCAGAATCTTGTGATTTTTCACCTCTGCAATGATCGAGCAGGTAAGATGGCTCAATATTAGTGGTTTGATCTTCTCAAAATAAAATAGCCAATTTCCAGGTCCTAAACTTTTGAGAAGAACTAAAATTCTTCTATAAGGTGTGCCTCCCCTTTAATAGAAATCCACAGTGAGCTTTGTTTTAATTCAATAAGTCCCAATCCTTTTTTTTTTCCTGCTTCTACGATCCATACAAGTAAACTCATAAATAATTATGCTTCACATGAGAAATACCAGTGCCTGGGGCAGACCCTCCTCCGCCACCCTAGCTACGCCACTGATCTCTATAAGATGCATTTTAAAATGATATAATTATTGCATATATATGTAAATTAAAAATATGAAAGCAAACTACTAATTTTTATTTTGCAATAGTCCCTTTGTTCTTTTCTATTTGGCTACTTCTCCTTTTCATCCTTTACATAATGACGATAATATAGCTAATTTGAAACTTAAAATTTCTAGAATTGAAGCCTCTCTCCTAAACTAAATTTCCATATTGAATAACTATGCACTTTGCTTCTGTATCTCAGCCAAGACTGCTACTTGCTGCTTCTCTTCTTAACACAAAAATCTCAAAGATGTAAATGTTTTGAATCAGGCACAATTAGAGTGCAAAGTGAGTCGTGGACAAAAAGGTAAATCAAAATAAAAATGAACATTTAATCTGCTTCGGCTGCCAAGTTTGCTGTTTATTATGGTTCATCATCTAAATTTTACATCAAGTGTTTTTGAATAAAGTAAGGTTTTAATTAAAGCAACTAAAAATGTTCTATATTTTAACCATATAGAAATAACGATTGCATAGATGTTGATCCATGATGAACAGCAAACTTGGCATATTTATTTATTTGATTCCACAATTGACATTTGTGCCCACAATTCACTTGGCACTGTAATTGTGCCTGATTCAAAACATTTACATTTTTGGGATTTTTGCATTAAGAAAAGAAACAACAAACAGCAGTGTTAATTAAAGTTACAGAAATTTACGTCTAAAAGTCGTAAGTGGTACTTACCAGGTCATCTTATATCTTTATGGGCTTTCATATTTCTAAAAATTCCTGGTAGCATTCAACAATAAAATATGTCAATAAACTGAATGCGTGTTATTTATATATTTGCTCATAAAAGTATACTGGAAACAGAATACAATGAGCATTGGTTGCAGAACAAACTATCACTTCCAGACAATTCTCAAGGGGGAAAAATACAATATAATACAGTGCTAAAAGTGTCATTACATGGTTTCAGTTAATGTATATAGAATATTTCACGAAAGTCACTGAGTCTATTCTCGAGATTCCCCATCCTGAGTTTGGGTAATTAACCAGAATTCATCATTATTTTCAGTGTTGATACTTGTGGGGTTTATGCATTAATTGTCCACTACATGTAATTTTAGTACTATTGCATTCTTTAGCCTCCTAAACAGTCACTCTATCCAGATGAGAATCAGTCAGATCTAATTCTGATAGCCAACGAAGAATATTCACTGTGTTTAATTCATGTAACTTGTTTTTCCAGTTCTGAAACCTTTTAACTGTATTTTCAGGTAGTTTAGTGTCCCATGATGCTTCTATTTTCCAAAATTTCTGAAGAAGCAATTTTGATATCAACGTATTGGACAGGTGAACCCAGTCGGGTCAAAAATCTGATGTACTACTTGATAGGATTCTTTGCTTAGTAACTGGCTCATTTTCATTCCTCATATCAAACAAATTGTATGACAGAATATCATTTTTGATATTTCAAGTGAGACCTAACACTGACGCATCAAAATCTTTTACAATGTATGTAATGTGACATTCCTACTTTTTAATTATACAGCTGATAATCAAAAGAAACATATAGTTATACTTACATCAAATTTAAAATTAGCAGTAAATCATAACTTTACAATTAAGAAAGTTACTGGATAATTTTTAAATAAATATAAGTTCAAAGACAATTGCTGTCAAAAATAAGGTAAAATTTGTATTAGTCTTATGTGTCTCTAAATTCTGCTATTAGTCTTAACAGTTCTGTAATTTCTAGTGGTTTTATTCTGATAGCAGATTCTTCTTAGATCATTCTGAGACGCTCTATGCTTGAAGTTTCACTAGAACTCTCCTTTTCTGTCGACGTTGAGGGAATCGCACTAAATGTCGAAGATTCCTGTGATGTAGTTCTTGTTGTTCGGGTGCCAGCGTAACATCTGGTATTCTTACAGAGCATAAACTAACTAGACGTTAAAAGACTGTAAAGAATTATCCTTACGTCTTAATTACAACAAAGTCTAGAGAAAGGGTGTAAGGGACCCTTTATTAACTCAGTATATTCATAAATGTCACCGACTCATGCTTACAAAAGCCAATACTTTTGGCTTAACTCAAAAAGTAACAAATAATTTTAAGTAGAATAGAATTTTTTCACAGGTCACTTAATGTGCAAGCAGGCTCTGACTCGTAAAAAGTTGACGTAAACTAGCCTAATGGGTATAAGTGCTCAACACCACAGAAAAGATATCAACGTGGCCTTCAGGCAGGCAGAACATTCTCGCTCGCTCTATCACTAAATTCACCTTCCCAAACCTTCCATGAAATACTACTAACATCCTTTTACCTCATTAGGATACACGTGTGCAGGGATGCACCGTCCATGTGGGCAAGGTCGTGGGGGCACAATGGCACCAGCCTTAAAGGTGTCACTGATAATTTTATTATCTACCAATACAGATCGGTGGTGAATACTCCCTCTTTCTCTAGGGGCTTCTAGGTAGGCACACCATTCATTGTTCGGTCAAGTTTTTAGGTCTAAGCTTGCAAAATTTGGGCTTATTTAAACGCTTTTGCTGTTGGTGCAGTTTATTAATTCTTCATTGTTGTCGTGAGCCATATGAGTGTACCAACTATATGTTTTTGTAAGTCCTGATATGCTAATGTAGAGATTGTAAAAAGTAAATCCAGAAAAGTTTTATTTCTGTTACATATTTCCATTATATATATTTATTTAACATGGGCAGTCTAAATATATTTTATTTGTCGTTTTGTTTCTTAATAATTTGGAATAATGCTTAACAATAGTTTTTGTTTTTGGTACTGTTGTTTCATCCTGTAATAAAAATATTAATAATATATTTGTAAGTGTACCTATTTGCCTCAAATAAAAGATACATACCAGTACTAACAAGTCTAAAGAGTTTATCGTAAATCTCAATGTTGAACTGTGGGTAAGTGGATGGTAATTTTAACCCAATACATATAGTTTGAGGGAAAGGTACCATCAGTATTTCGTATGATGTCACCAAAGATACTTCATGTGTTCCTGCATGTGCACTACCCCATTTACATTCTGGTGAGAAAGCATAGGTTGAAAGTGAGAGTAATAGGAAAGTTGCTTTAAAATAAAATTAACTGTTAAATAACTTAAACGAATCCCCACGGTATATTTTGATAATTTTATGAAGTGTAAGTTAGATTGGGTTATTTGTTATGGTGAAATATAGAAAGAATATACGTACAAGAATATTTAGGGAAAGTTGAGTTACGTTAATGTTACAAAGTTGGAAAAAAAATCCCTCTAACAAATCAGCCTATTAGAGTGCTAGATATAAATGAAATATTTTGGAGCAAAGTTCCCTGGGCTGCCTACTGCTTAATGACTTATTATATAAACTGTAAGTAATATTCTTTATGCATCCAAATTCATTATTTATAATTTATTTATAGTTTGTCTTTTGCTACGTTCATGAGAGGGGAAATACCTTATTTGCTGACTTTTAAATCAAACAAACTTCAAATGTGTTTAAGTAATGCTTTATGCATACGCATTGAGATAGCTGAGAATATTATCATTTTTTAGCTCCAATATTTATTAGAATATTTGATTTTGACAGATCTAACTAATGGTTGCATTAGTTGCAACAACATTTTGGCTTTTTTATACTTTTAAATAGGTTGCCTGTGTGTTAGTTAAAAATAAAACATTAATCCAACTGGGTTAAAAGAAGTTGAAACAAATTTAATATTAAATTAGCTAAATAAATTACAGATTGAATAAACAATAAGAACATATTAATTGTAATATTAATAATTTTTAGGTATGAATTTAAAAGAGCTTCTTAAATTATTTTAAAGAGCAAAGTAAATGATTCAGTAGATTATGCAATATAACTTCTGTTAAAATCCATAACCTTACATTTTTCATATATCACTTTGGTTAAAAGTCTGCATCAAATAATGAAGTGTCTATACCTTCTAATTCTGACATGTACCTAAAAATAAATTTAAAAAACACAAGTAAAAAACAGCAGGGTTTTTTTTCCCCATATTTACAAAATTTAAAAATAGGATTTTTCTTACTCATCATTTTTCCCGTCATTATTTGGTTGTATCTCTGGTGGGTAACTTCTTTCTTCATTTACACTGTCATCTTACATCAAAGAGAAAAATGAAAGCATATAAAGGATTTAGACTATTAAATATTACATTAAATGTTTTAAAATAGTAAATATTTTAAAAGACTAATTTAATAGTAAATATTTTAAAGAACTAAGAAGTGACGTGAATTTACTGCCATTTATAGGTATTACATATGGAAATATTGAAAAATGGGAATTCTTTAATTGACCATAACTATAATACTAAACTTGAAATAAACTTTTAAATATGAGAAGACAGATTCCATCTTAGGTAAGTCAAGATTTGAAACAACATGCTCATCTAAGTTTAAAAAAAAAATATGCCTTTAGATAAGACATATTTTTAAAGAAGGCATAAGTCATTCTTGTTTAAAAATAGTAATCTCTTGTTTCATAACCATAAATATATTTTTAACGAAATAAATCACCATGACCTCCACATAAATTAGTAAATTTATTCAGAAGTTGATTGGGTAGAAAAGTGTATAATTAATTAAATAACCAAGTATGCTTTTTGTAGGTTTCCCATTTGAGCCTAAAATCTGGTTTTGATATCGAACTTCATGTGGTTAAAATGTATAAATTCAAGTTTAAATGTGATGAAAATTATTGCAGTTTAGAATAATGTGGTTAATGTTTAATTGCACATCAATCCATTAATGATAAAAAATGTTTCTCAACAGATAATTTGCATTTGTTTATTATTTACTTATTTGTGGTGATGTATATGATTATTGCAAAGAAAATAAATGAAGATTTTCATTTTTGACAAGTTTCTTGCAAACTGAACCATATATAACCAAACTGAATTGCTAAGATATTACATACGTGCTTAGCATTGCATCTACAATCGTGTGCAAAATTTAAGGAACTTTTACACATTATGTCAAATTTCTGAAAAAGTGAAGAACAATTTTAATGATATTTGGTATGAAAATATGCATTTATAATAAAGAAAGGGAAATGTTTATGTAGTGATGATTATCTGTAAACCTCATAGTGCAGGGATTTTCAAAATTCATGTTGTCATATCGAACTAAAAATGAGCCTAATATTGGGTATGGTCCGCTCTCACAGCCATGCAAGATCACGCAGCATGACTGTATACTGGACAGGAGGCAGTTGAGGAGACCTGTTGAGGAGATCCCACCCCTGCAGCAAACCAGCTTTTAATGATTGTCAAAGGGGAATAGCGAGATGACATTGCCCTCTTAAGAGTGTTTCAGACATGTTGTATAGGGTTAAGGTCAGGAGATCTGGCTAGCCAACCCATGCGGCGAGTATCCTCTTTTTCCAGATAATTGCCAACCAGCTGAGCTCTATGTGGACAAGCGTTGTAGTCCATTAATAGGAACTCAGGAGCAACTACATCTCTGAAAAGTCAAACACATAGGGCCCTGCGACCTCCTCTCTATAATACCTCATAGCAGCCTTTGTGAAACATATGCAGGGCTGTGCAGCTATTCTATTGATATATAATGCCTGCTCAAACCATTACCCCTTCACCACCGGAATTGTCTTTTTCCCTGATGCGGAAGAGATGGTGTTGTGTTCCAAGCTCTTTCCAGATAAAGGTACGTAGAAAATCAATGTCCAGGCTGCATCTCGATTCATCTGTAAAAAGTACGGTGCTGCACTGAAGTCAAGTCCAAGGCGCATGTTGGCTGCACCATGCTAAACGCGCTTCCTTGTGTGCTGCAGTGAGCGGGACGCAAATAATGGGTCTTCTGGCACACATATCTATTTCATAAAGCTTTTGGGCAAGTGTAGACCTTGAAATTCGGGTTCCAGTGGCAGCATACAGCTCACGTGAGAGTCTTCTGTGCTGTGTGCGGCTGAAAGTGTCCAACTGCGACTGAAAGTGTCCAAATAACGATGCTCATTCGTTGTTCTGGATCTTAGTTGACTTTTCCAGGTCCTCTCGATATGGATCCAGTGTCTTAAAACTGTTTCCACAAATTGCAGACGACACTGAGTGTTACATTGAGCTTTTCTGTAGCGGATTGCTCTTGTGATTGCCCTGCCTCCAGTTTACCGACAATTCTCCTTCTCATTCCGCCATCTATATATTCTTGGCTACTCATTTTACTCAATACATTATAAAATTTATTTAGCGAGTGTCGTAAAGGAGTGCGAACACACAAATGGCCGAGAATACCTTGGGTGCTTATCTTTTCTTCCGATCCACAATCACAGCCTCCCAGACGCGCACTTATGCGCTTATACATTCGACTCTGAGTATTTGCATAATTTTGCGGGGGGGGGCATAATTAGTGCTTTTAGTTCAATACGTTTCATAAAAATAGGTAAATTTGCAAATTCTCTTAATTTTGCACACGAGTGTATTTTACAACTATTTACAATTTCATGATTGTAGTCTATGCAAATATATTTTTTTAGTCAGCCACAATTATAAATTGTTCGATTCTAACATGATAAAAATTGCAATATCTAAAATTTAATTTCTATTCATAGCTTAAATTTAGATGGAGCTTCTAACGAGATTAATTCCAATATTTTAATTTATTTAACCGTTTGTCATTAATTTTAATTCTTTTTTCATTCTTAAACTTATTGCTTTACTTTTTATATAATTTATTATTCATTTTTATTATTTTAACCATTTAATTTTATTTATCTTTCCTGATGCATTTACACATGATTCTGGATCTGATTTTAGAAATTAGCTTCTATCAAAAAATTACGTTTATTAATATCATTTTGTTCTGTCAAAAAATTATGTTTATTAATATCATTTTGTTATCTTCTGTCAAAAAATTACGTTTATTATCATTTTGTTAGCTTCTGTCAAGAAATTACGTTTATTAATATCATTTTGTTAGCTTCTGTCAAAAAATTACGTTTATTAATATCATTTTGTTAGCTTCTGTCAAAAAATTACGTTTATTAATATCACTTTGTTAAAACCAGTATTGTAAATGAAGTTTTGGAGAAAATATTGTGAAGGGAGACACATATAACAATTTATTAAATTAAATTAAAGCTAAACAGATAAACATGAACTAGAATGTTGAAATTTCATTAAATTTATACAAATTGAGTAAAGTTAGTGAAATATATCACAGTAATCTGGACTGAATTGTAAAAGTAATATGTAGAAAAAGACATAAAAATAAAAACTACAATAATAAATACAATAAGGAAGGAGCTGTATTATCTCTGTCAAATTCAAACTTTTTCAATTCTTCTCCTTTTTCAAGAAGGGGAAGAATTTAACAGTGATAGTTACCTCTTTTTCTGGCATAATCAGTTATGTTTCTGTCACTTTCAGTTAGCCGAGACATCGAAATTAATTATTTTAAATTATTTTTACCTCAGAAAATAAGAAACGCCATCTCGATGTAACCAATATGCCAAAACAAAAGTAAATAAAAACTAACATTCGAACTAAAATTCATTGAAACAAATATTTATAAAATATGAAAAAAAAGTTTTAACTGCCAAAAAAAGAAATTCTACACATGAAAAACTGTAAACAATAGCAAAAATATAGAATATTATACAATCTGGAATTTAATTAAATTAAACTTTCATCTAATGTACCGAAATTCGTGTTAAAACAAAATAAAAAAGAGTTCAGCGCATTAAGCCAGTAGGAATTTACTTACTTCAAGCTTTAAAAAAAAAAAAAAAAAAGAAGGCCACATTTTTTTTTTTTTTTTTTTTTTGCGTGAAAAAGGCGTCATAGGAATGTACTGGGCTACTGTTGACATTTGAAAGGAGGGGAAAAAAAAAAAAAAAAAAAAAAAAAAAACTTACGCCTATTCCACGCACATGTGATGGTCATTTTTAAATTAATTTTAACTTAAATTTTGTTCGACCCAAAGCGCCGTGGCTTTGATAGAAATTACTTATATGACAGACAAGAAAATTTATACATTCCAGCTATTTTGTGCAAGTGACTTACATTTTAGTTTTATGTTATTTTAATTTACCCTAAGTAGGGTAGATTATAGTTTAGTTTACTGTTACTTGCTCGTTTATATGTATTTTTAAAGACAAAATTTGTCATTAACAATTCAAAGACAATAACTCGTATTATAGTTTTAAAGCAATGGTGTTCAAACTGTCAACTCAAGGATCCCTCAGAACTAAAAGGTACTTTTCGGGGAACCCAATCTCACGATTAGAAAATAGATCACAAAATTAACTTAAAGTACATCAATAAGTTACAGGTACTTTATGTACAGATAATTAACGAAAAGCATTGCATTTTTTAGTTAAATATTTTAACATAAAGTTACTGTAATTTACTCCTTTATACATTAACATGTGCTCTGGGTGTCACCTACTCTTGCGTTATATTTGACGGGGTTCTGCTTGCAGTTTTTTTACACAAACTATTTAGCTTTGTTAATGGCAGTAGCATTCCAAATCCTGTATTTAATTTATTTGCATAATTTTTGCTTTCACATACGTTGAGAAAGATTTTTCACTTAAATATGTTGTTCCGAACGGCATTAAAATTGTTTATAGCTGTTTAAGACCCTTCTAGTTATTCTTCATGAAACTTCAACCAAAAATTTAGGGGCTACTCTTGCATAAATTTGGATTTTAATGCCGAGTTTTGCTGATATGCGTTCTTTCCTGATCGTAGTACTCGAATGGAATTTTTATCCAATTATACTTAGTTTTTGATGGGAAATAATTTTTTTATAGCTTTCTTCAATTGAAAAGGTGTTCCTTTGTACCATTTTTAAGACTGTCGTCTAAATTCAGTTAATTTTCCATTAACAAACTGTTTAGCATTGCTGGCATTGCATGTCATTCTCTTTGACATATGAAGATCACATATTAAGTTTTCAAACTAATCCATAACTAAATGGATCTTTATATTTTTTAGTTAATAAACACTTGTCAACTAGTGTGAGTGCTTTATAATTTTCTTTTCGAATTTCTATTTTGACTCCTGGGAATCAGTGGAACACAGTTTGAAGACCACTGCTTTAAGGTAACACTGAGGGGTAAGGGTTGGGTGTAAGTACTTAATCAGTTAAAAATAACCACTTAGTTGTTATAGCATACACAAAGTACTTTGTCTTTACCATTTAAACCATGAGTATCCATTTCAGATTGTTGTAAAGAACATCGAAATTCCTTCATAAACTGAGCAGCATCAGAAAAAAACTGTTCTCTAATAGACTTCAAGTGAACTTTCAATTCTTCCTAAGGAGTTAAAAACATCTATTATTCGCTCTGGTATATTTTCGTTTGTTGCTAGATTCTGTTTTTTGTTAGTTCAGTAACTACTGTTAACAATTTTTAGAATCTGGAAGGGAACATGAAATACATTAATTACTTCGGTTCTTTTCAAAATTTCATTCTCTGATTTGAGTTCCTTTATTCTTTCTCCGAGAATTTCCTTTCTTATTGTTAAGGATTTCAATGATACTTCACGGTAGCTTAGCTTTTTCGCCTAGAAATAAAATTGTTCATATATTTAATGTTGTACAATTTCTAAAGCACAAATAAATCTTATTTTTTCAAAACTATGTATAATAATCTGATACGCAAATTTAATATGTTGAATTGTTTTTCATTAGATCTAGATGTTTTAATTTTCAAGTAAATAATTAAAGTTTAGCCGATAATTATAAATAACTTCTAATCTCTTTTATGTGCATGAAAGATGGATCTTTAAACTTTTATAATATTGTGAGAGATTTATACATTTACTCGGATGGCACAAAATAAATAAATAAATAAATAAAATAAAAAATTTAAAAAAGTTAATTTAAAGAATCTGAAAGTTTTCAGGTATTACTCTCAAAGGAGCTTTTTCTAACGCTTTGTGTGTTACCTTTATTTAATAAGTATCGGGTTCTTCGCACTTAAACCATAAAATTCAATTCAACAGCAATATTACAAAATAATTTTAAAAAGCATAACTTTAGAATTTCCGATACACAGTCTCGCGCCCTGGCAAATTTTTTTTTTTTTTTCTGTACAGTGTTGCCATTGCTGGCTTTGAAATCGTTGAATTTCTTAATCACAATCTCACAAATGCTTTAAAAATATGAAATAGATAATAAAACAAATTTCAAATTTGGGCTTCCAGATGTCCATAATCGGGTGGAGATGTAGGTTATTCAAAATTTGATGGCTCTAGGTACATTTGTTTTATCACAATGCGAGAAATATACATACATTTATACAGATTCTTCATTATTTAAATTCTTTGAATATAATACAGGGCGATAATATTTGGTGGCAACAATTTGAAAAGTGATTCAAACTTTTGAAGTTTTCGACGCAAAATGCCATAACGAAATTATTAGCCCTTCTGGGCTGACGCCGCTTGGGCTAAAATGAAAGAAAAATCTGAAAGGATTTAGATTTTAACGTTGCATTAGAGGTTTTGTTAAGATTTTTTATGCCCTCGCGGAGTTCGCAGTTTACCAAGCTGCTCTTAGTTTCACTCCTGCTAAAACAACTTTTATTTCTGCCTTTTTAATTTTATTATTAAACATCATTTTCTTCGCAACACCGCCACATAAAATTTAAAATAAAAATAACAAGAACTTTAAGACCGCCATATTTTTAGAATTCTCAATAGAGCGTTAAGAGCTGCCATACAGTTTTTATTTATTTATTTATTTATTTTTTGTCAGTCTTTTTTTAGTTTATCCTGTCAAATTTTCTTGACATACGCAAGGTGATACATAGCATTCTTGTTTGGTCTTCCTTTAATTTTTTTTTTTTTTTTCTTCTTGAAATCACTTTTACAGTTACACCACATAAAATTCATCAGCAAAATCAGAGCAATTTTAGAACAGCATACATTTAGAATTCTCGATCCAGTGTTGAGTGTTGCCACTAATTTTTTCAGTGTTTTTCAGTTCATCATAATCAATGTTCAATTTCTTAGTAAGATGACTTGCACAATTCTTTTTTTGTCTGCTTATTATTAACTTTTTGTCCTTTTAACTTAATTACTAAACACCATTTTCTTCGCACATACACTACATAAAATTTAACAGCAGCATCACAAAATATTTAAAAACAACATAGCTTTAGACTTCGCGATGCAGTAAAGTGTTGGTATAGTAAATGTATGGCAATACATTTTTTATACACGCTGCATTATTTCTTTAAAAAAAGAATGGCAATAATATTTGGTAGCAGCATTCTTTTATTTGTGTTGCTATGCAATTTGTTTTTATATTCGCTACATTATTCCTTTAAAAATAAAGAATGACTATAATATTTGGTAACACCATCCTTTTATTTGTGCTGTCATAAATTGTTTTACATTCGTCATATTATTTCTTTAAAAATAATATATGGCGATAACATTTGATGGCAGTATCCTTCTATTAGAAAAAGTAAAACGAACACAAAAGTGGGGATCAAAATTAATAGCATAGCACCTCTTAGTGCTTAAAAAAAAAAGAAGAAGAAGAAAGATTTCAAATTTTAATGATCACCTAAAAGGATTTCTCAAGGTTTTTTAAACTCTCACTGAGGTCAAAGTTCAGTCTACTGTTGCACTCATTCCTGCTAACCCAACCTATTTGCTTTTGTCTTTTTAGCTTTATTATTAAGCATAATTTTTTTCGCACTTATGCCATATGCAATTCAACAGAAAAATTGCAAATATTTGAAAAGCAACATATGTTTGAAAAGCAACGTAAGCAACATGAATAACAACATATGAGAAAAGTTATATGGACTCAGAGCTGGAAAACAGAAGGTTGCAGAACTACTGAAATGTCATTTTAGTCAAAAGTTCAGTAACGGAGAGCGTTCTCCTAACAAATATTAGAAGAATAATCTCTTGATCGTTAAAAAAATAAATTAGCATTGATCTAGATGCTAATTTGAAAAGATCTGATTTGGGATTTGCTAATTCTTGTCCCCTCTCAAAAAAGATGGGGGGGGGGGAAAAAAAAAATGTTTTTTTTTTTTTTCTAGATATCATTGGAAAATACAGGAGTTTTCACCGATTGACACTTTTCTGAGAAAGGTATTCTATCATTTTAGATACGTTCTGTAAGGTCTACAATTCTCCATTCAGCTTTTCGGCTTTCTTTCTGCTGAAATATAAGGTGTTTTTGAACCAGTAGGGCATACACCATTCGCATGTCCAATTTCATAAGGCGTGCAGAATTCTAGGCATAAATTCTGCACACACGGTTTAGATTTAGATCATTGCTGATCTTCTCTCACTATCAGTTTATAGGTCACTATCAGTTATACAAAGTTATTACCTTTACTACATTTCAGTCTATTCTGGATACGCAAAATGTTCCGAAACAGCTCTTGTTTTCAACAGTTTCAGGGCTCTTTCAAATGGCTTTCTGACATTTGAAATTTTAACTGCTTATTATAAAGCATGGTCTCCATATTCCCATTTGATCTTTCGAAAAGTTTCATTTGCATTTTCTTTAAGTTCCACATAAAACTTTATTGCACAAAGTTTTTCAAAACTGTAATACTAAAATGTTTTAATACAACGTCTTAAGGCGTGCTTATGGTACAAAGTAAAAACTAATTTCAGTACATCAAAAGAAATGTTTCGCCTTTTCACATGTTCTGTTTCCATTCTTGCCACAGTGCGAGCAGTTTCATTACTTTTTTACACTACATCTCATAGAAAAATGAGTTGCCTTTCTTTGTAACGTAATGCTGAGCATGAACTATCATATCAAAAGTTAATTATTTTTAATAATCTACCCTACGGCCATTAATGATCATAAGAATTTTGAAACTAAAGATTTTAATAATCAGAGAAAAGGAAAAAAGTTTTGTTCGTTATAATTCTGTTATTACAGCATAGTTTTTAATTACCATTTCTGATGAATTCTGTCGAATCGAACTGCAAATTTTTTCCACTTCTTTTATTTCTTTTTCAGAATCTGCTATCTTCTTTTTAACTGTAATTTATAAAATTATTAACACAAGTTTAAATCAATGATATGAATAAATAACACTGTATGCATAGAATCTGATTCGCTTGTAAGAAATTGAAGATATTGCATTCAGTAATACTAAACTGGAAAATAGGATTTTTTTATCTTAAATTTAGACAAGCCAAGATGATACACAGACGGAAAAATTCTTACGATTAGCTAAATGTTGATGTTGTGCCTCAGATTCTTGCTCTGTTAACTGGATAGTGTTGAACAAGTCATCCAACGACTCAGTCATTTTCATAAAATTTTTATTATCTGTCTGTTTCATTTTTTAAAAGAGAAAAGAAAAGAAAAGAAAAAAAATATATATAAGTATTTTTTTTTACAACTAACTGGTATTTAAAAAGTTTAAAAACAAATTATTATAAAAATTCATTTATGTACTATATATTTCAACATAAGTTAAATTCTTAAATAAGGTATATGTGAATGATAATTTGAAATGAAAAAGCTTACTCGTTTTGATAAGCTACTAAGGTAAATAATAATAAATTTTTACTAGAAATTTTATATATAGAAATTTAGATAACTTGCAGTATGCAGAATTCATTTTCATTTTTTTTTAATCAACAGGGGTACACACGAGTACAACTTCCTAATTTCTTTTTGAGAAAAATCGAAATTTCTGTGAAGGCGCGCTAAAGCTATTGATTAGGGTATGTTCCGGTACACACATTACGTATCACCCATCCATGTTGTAATCGAAAAAAATTGAAAGGAAAATCCATAAATGCTCGCATAAAGAGTTTAACTTTCTTTTAAGAATTATTTTAAAATGGGATATACTACTCTGGAAGTCTTAAGTACAGTGAAATATATGAGAGTCAATTAGCTCATACAATTTATTGATTTATTCCTCTGTTTTGTTTATCTTCAATTCATCATCATCTTTATAATAAAATATATTTTATTATATATTATTTATTATCGTAACGGCGTGTATTTATTTTAAAGGAAAAAAAATTTATTTTTTAAAATTAATTACAGTATTTTCATACAATGATCATGGCGTTATGTTAGATTATTGATTTTCAAATTTCATGTACTAATTTTTATAATAATACGCGGCCTTAACAAGCACTGAATTTTACGTTCGTATAAAACTGAAGGATTTGATTCATATTATAAACGCAGAAAGATTCATTTCCTTCACAGCTGGGATAGTTTAATAATAGTATTTCTCTTTTATAAATAGTACTAATTTTTTAATTTTGTAAAAATCACATAAAGGTAAGTTTTTTTTTTTAAGCATCAGGTATAAAAAGGAGCAACATATATTCTTGTTTAGTTAGTAAAGGTTTACATACTGTGATTCAAATAAATCGTCAGATAATTGCTAATGATATCTAATGCTTGATATTTCATAATTTTCTCAAAAAGAAGTGAAACAGGAAGTTATGCATAAATACGTTTTAATATTTATAATTACTGTGTGAGAATGAATTTATAGTCTGAAAAATATATTAACAGATGACATATTCAAATATGCATTTCAAAAACAGAATGGCATAAACATATTAGTGATTTTTATTATATTTTATGAATCATCATTTATATTAAAATATTAATTTAAAAATTTTATAAACTTCAGTAATGAAAAATTATTACATTTGATGTTCAAAACGTAGAAAACTTTACAAAGTGTATATATAAAACTATATACTATATTGATATTGAAAGCTATTGTAAGCCATTTTCTTCCACCTTCCTTTTTTTTGTTTAAAAATATGTCCTTCCATACCGCGTGCCTTCGTGGCGTAACTGAAATCACGAAAGTAATTGGAGCTAACAGTATGGATATCCAAAGCTCAAATCCTGGTAAAGATACTAAGCCGGAGAAAAACACAGTTTTACGTATCCTGTTTCGACAGACCTAATGACTCATGTCCGAAACAGAATGTGGATGAAGGTAATTCATCACTACCAGGATTTAACGATTCGGTCTCCGCTTTTCCAGTCGCCCTTTAAGTTTTGGGAGGATGTAAAATATTTTCGCCATCTTTACCATGGGCATTGGTGGTGCAACAAATCACGTCCGGATCGGAATCATCGGAATCAGAAGGTCTAGAGTTTGAATCTCAGAAAGAGAACAGCATTTTTCATGTCTTTTGCTTCGACAAACTTAATTACTGTACAATATGTTTAAAAAATATTGTTTATGTTAAAAATGTTTATTGCAAAATAAATCCATGTTGTGTAGCGAAATTAAGTGGTTTAATTAATTAATGGTTTATCCCGCGACGAAGCATCTGTGTTTTAAAAAATATACTTAGTTTGATGTCTTAAGCAACGCACTGAAGGTCTTGTTTTTCCAAGTGCAGATTCTCAATTTTGTGGATTAGCCGCGTGCATCGTCTTTTAAAATGTTGTTCGACTTGAAGGCATATGAAATATAATATATTTCAGATATTTGAATTTTTATATTTTGAGCCCCCAAACAACTCAATACCAGAAGATTTTGATGTCAACGTTTAACGTTTCATCGATGTCGATTTTATCACCAGACACAATCTGGAAGGAAACGCAGGGTGGCGTCCAGATGAGTTTACCTTCCAATTCCTGAGACAAATCTTTTCGGATGATGGCCTCTGTATCTATAGTCATAAGGAACTCCGTTAATATGTACATATAAAGAGTCCATTACTGCCGCCATTCATTGCGGAAATCTGAAGCGCTTTACAATGGGGTAAGGCAAGGTCTGACGTGCAAAACTCGTGCTAATCTTTCAATGCTTGTGTGGGCCGAAAAGGACGAAAGAGAAGCAGCTGAGGGAAACTGCAATGTTATAATGTACGATCGCCTTTTAAACGCATTGCCTCTGGGATCTCTGCCATTGATATGCTAATGGCAACTACTACATCCTCGTTGTTACTCATTGCTTCTCAAAGACTCAGGTGTTAGAAACACTTGTTAGCAGGCACCCGGGTAAAACCACATCCTGTGTCGAACTCGTACGAAAATGGCATATATTTTCTAAAATAACGTGATGAAGTCCATAGGTGAGATGAAATCTCACCTATGGCAAGTGCGATGATTGAGTCTTGATATATAGGGTGCGGCAGCGTTCATAGTAGAATATTAAAAGCACACCATAAGGCAGTAACTGTAATTTATTTATTACCTCTTATGTCAATTAATAGTTAAAGGTATGCCATTTACTAATGTGTAAGTCATTGTCCATTGCGTGGATTACTTTTTGAATATGATGCCTTCTCTGCACAATACACTCATCTAGGCGGCGTTGGAAGCTTGCCATAAGTCGGCGTAACGTATTCCCTGGAACATTGCCGACGGCAGTTCGGATGCGATCCTTCAACTCAGGAATGGTGGCACAACGTGTTCGGAAAACTTCTTGCTTCAGGTACCCCCAAAGTCGGCACATAAAAGATCAGGTGAGCGAGGTGGCCAGGAAATGTCACCAAAACGGGAAATTACCCTACCTGGAAATGTCTGTCGCAATGGTCCGTCCATCTGGAACTTTCCCATGACGTCCCAAGTTGAAATTTTGCCAATAACAAAGTAGTTATTCTTGAAATAACTTTCAACAGCAAAGGCACAATGCTGTGCACTCCACCGATCCATATCAATGTCACACTCAAAATGGCAGCTCATTAGTACACGAATGCGGCACGAGCACATCATTGTACTACATCGTGCAGTACGGCATTGTACTACATCGTGCAGTACGTCATTGTACTACATCGTGCAGTACGTCATTGTACTACGCAAGTCAAATTACGCTATGAACGCTGCGTTATAAGCGTTAGATACTTCCCCTAAGAATGTCCGTGGTATAAATGCATGCTTCTCAAAGTGGCTTGAAGCGTATCCTATATCAGATCAAGAGGCTGTCACAGTAGCAGAGGTAATGAAAGAGCATTGGGTTTCCAGGTCTGGAGTGCTTTTTCAGTTACGTTTCGACCAAGAAAGGAATTTTATCTCGGCTGTAATTAAAAACCCTGTAGAGTACTCAGCACAGACAAATCCCACTGCTGACACCAAAATTGTTGCGTTCCTATAGATTCCTAATGGGCTGAATGCACACAGAACCTTGAAAACTTCATAAAATTTATTTTGCCCAAAGAAAACACTTTACAATTCTTGAACTTTCCAAAAGTGCTCGTACTGCTCTTCTCATCAGGGCAAAGCGCAATCAGTAGTTACCACTTCAAGCTACTAATATCGTGAATGCAAAATACATCCAAAGAGCGAAGCTCGAAGGGAGATCTTTCAATACTCTGAAGTCAGCTCTGAACTAAAAACTGATGCTCTCCGGTCTTATATAGTTTTCCTTGGCTACCGAGAAATCTCTAGTACCTTCCATTTTTCGAAATTACTAGAAGATATATAAAGTTACATATAAGGACAGGGTACGGTTACAATTACATATAGGGATAAATTACAGTTATTCTATTACAGTATCAATTACAGTCACACAGGGATCAGACCAAAATGTCGCCAAATGTTCACGAAGTTTGGCGACTTTCCGAGTTCACTTTCTAAGTTCCAGGTTCACAAAGTTTGGCGATTTCTTGCTAATTTTGGCGATAAAAAGTAGTCGTCTAAACCATCGCTTGCTTGGCGATATCTCGCAAATTTAGCGAGATAGCCATTTACCTCAGTGTTAAATAGATTCGCCAATGCAATATTACTTTACCGGAAGAGCTTCGCTTTTCTTGAAGCCGTTCATGTTACATTATATAAAATCCTTAAGATCTGCTTTAGTCAGTTGAGATAAGCTATGTTCTTTTAAGGAACGTAAAAAACTAGCGACTTTGGGAAGAAGCTGAATAATTTTAAAACAGTGATTTTTAAGCAGAGCCGACGCCTAATTTGGCGCAACCAGTGCAATTGCACAAAGCGGCAGAATTTAGGGGCGGTTAATGTTTGAAATTTAGGAAGGCATTAAGCGGTAGAATTCAGGAAACGCAGAGATTGCACTTGTCGTCAAAATGCCTGGCACTGGCCGCATAATGGCATCCAGTTGATCAATCTGAAACGAATTTGGCTTAGAGCATAGGCTGAATGATGTATCATTGGTGTGGGAAGAAATGTTGGCGACTCATTAAGCAACCCTATATTTTGGTTTATTTTAGTTTATTACAGTAAAGCACGTTTGTGCTATTTGCCTAAGGGAAGGGATACCTTCGTGGAGGACTTTCTACATGAAACTGGCTCGTATACAGCTTACACGCGGGGAAAACCACGAAAACGCCCATGCAGCCAGCGCGTTCACCTGGATTCGATCCCAGGGCGGAACTACACTCAAGAGCCAAAACATTATGACCAGCCCTACATTTTGCGATGAAAGCGCCTGGATGACGTGGAAGACACGTGATCAGGGGGAAGTGGTATTTAACTGCTGCTGGAGAGTTTAAGCAAGCATTCTTTCTTTTACTTCTGAGTGTGATGGCAAAGGCTGCAGATCTAAGCGATTTTGATAGAGGGCAGATTGTAATGGCTCGAAGGCTCGGAACAAGTATTTCCGAAACTGCACGACTCGTGGGTTGTTCGCGATCTAAAGTTGTTAGTACGTATGAAAAGTGGATGAATGACGGTGAAACCAGCAGTAGACGACATGGTGTTGGACGTCCACACGCTATCAAAGAAAACGGTCGTCGGAGACTGTCTCGCATGGTGAAGCAAAACCGGAGACAGACAGTGGCTCAGTTGACAGCCGAATACAATGCAGGGCCAAGTAGAAAAGTATCGGAGCACACTGTTCAGCGGACACTGTTGGATATGGGGCTACGCAGCAAACGTCCCACTCGTGTGCCTTTGCTGACCAAGCGTCATCGCCAACTGCGCCTGCGCTGGGCCCGGGAACATCGCGACTGGTCCATGGATCAGTGGGAGAGAGTTGCCTGGTCAGATGAATCACGGTTTGTCATTCATCACACCGATGGTCGTGTCAGGATACGCCGTCTTCCAGGCGAACAGTTGCTCCCTCAATGAACAGTAGGTCATACACAGGCCGGTGGTGGCGGTATTATGCTCTGGGGGACGTTCTCTTGGGCGTCTCTGGGACCCGTGGTTGCAGTAGAGCAGACCATGAATGCTACAGGGTATCTGAACATCATTGCGGACCAGTTGCACCCTTACATGGCCTCTGTTTTTCCAGCTGGAAATGATGGAATGTTCTAACAGGACAACGCTCCGTGTCACAAGGCTACAATTGTGTTGGAGTGGTTCCAGGCACATGATGCTGATTTCCAGTTAATGTCCTGGCCGCCTAACTCACCGGATCTCAATCCGATAGAACACGTTTGGGATGTCATGGGACGGCAGCTCAGAGGTCAAAGACCACCAATTCGCAATATCTTGGATTTGCGTGACCGTTGCTACAACATCTGGTACAATCTGTCTCCGGCCATCTATCAAGGACTTGTGGCATCCATGCCAAGGCGAGTTGAAGCTGTGTTGCACGCCAAAGGTGGCCCAACTCGTTATTGACAGGTGGTCATAATGTTTTGGCTCTTGAGTGTATACCAGTGTTCAGTGCTCAGCCGCTGGTGTGCCTTAAGCAACCCTACATAAGCTTATTTGTCAAGTTGATGGCTATTGAGTGATGCTAACAATTACAATATTGTGGAAATTTGCTTAATCTTTATTTAATGTTCATGCTGATTGCATTTTCTTATTTGTCTAGTGTATGTATCATTTAATGTTAGATTAATTTGTCATTAAATGTTACATTTAATATTTGTTAACATATGTTATAATTATTTTGGCTTAATTTGTTAATGTTATAGTTCAATAATTTAAACTTTTTTTTTTTTCATTTAGTTAACGTATGTTGGCGTTTCTGTTTTCTTACTGAGCATTCAATAAACAGAATTAAGGAACTGTACAATCCTTCAGCGTTACGTGCTATATTCGTCCATATTACTGTTTGTATTATTACGCTATTATTGACGAAAGATTAATAAAATACCAATTAACAATAAAAAAATTTGCATTATTTTATCAGCTGAAACATGCTCATAAAAGCAGTTTTTTAAATTTATACTAAATCATATATCAATTATCATTTTTTGAAGAATGCTTAAATCTTCTTCTTTTACGAGTATATTTATGTATGTATATTAAACATAATCTATTTAAACGCGTTTTACATGCATACTTCCGTAAACAAATTTTTAAGTATTTTTAGCATGAAAAACAATCTTTCTGAACACACATAATAATTGGTAATATTATTAAAATTTTCAAAAGTTTATATATATTAATGAATATATATCTTTATTGTTAACCTTTAAAGTTTCTATTAGATAAATTATTTTGCTCTTGTTGCAATTCTCTTTCCCGAAATTGATATTCAGTATAACCAGTATTACAATCTCACAAATCAAAATTATATTACAACAGAATGAATGCCATGTATTTCACTTAAATAACCTGATAAGTTGCAAATATATGAGTTTTTATATTAAATTCAGTTTTTCAGTGGCAAAATTATAAACCAAAGAAATTGTTTGTTATAATTACGGAGATTGCACCCCCCAAAATTAAATTCTACGTAATGCATTAGGAGTTGAACGTGATAGTGACATTTTGAAAGTAAGCAAATTTGCACCAGTAAATTTGCATAATGAAATCTCTTTTCGTTGCTTTCCAGCTATTCTATCAATATATTAAGAATAACTTTATTGATCTTAAAAATTATCTGCATTTCTCTTGGTTTTATTTAATTTATAGAAAATTCAAAAATAATTCTTATAATTTCTAGAGTTACAATGAACTGAAGTTTTTGAATTAGAAAAACAAATATTTTAAATTAAAAAAAACAAATTCTAATGAAATATATCATTGCAAAGAGGAATAATTAATCTGAGCACTTAAACATTTGAAGCATTATTACTGCAGGTCTTTCAGTTCTTTGAAAAACTTAATAGTCTTTTTTATATGCTTTAGCAGTTACGCACCATTATGTTGCTACCTTTACGTTAGAAGATCACCAAATTATTTGTCTATTTTTTTTTTCTTTTTTTAAATAGGAATGCAGTCGCTAAGTTAAGGGTCTGAAGTTACGTAACTTCATGAAAACGTTCCACCTCTCATAACCCGAGCGGGGCGCCACAGTCGCAGACGGAACAAATTATTATACAAGAGAGCGTTATCTGTTGTATAGCGGTTATTATTTTGAAGGTAATATGTATTGCTGTGTATGACTAAGTTATTTACGGTATTGATTTTTTTGAATGTTCAAGTGTATTTCCGCTCAGTGTATCTAAATTTTATAAAATTTAATTATAATCCAAAATTATGATGTAATTTTAAAACTCTTTTAACGAAACTGACGTGTTATAATAATACATTTTTATGTTGTTGACTTTTATAGTGGAATAAGGTTGCATAATACAACAGTGACGTGATATATGAAAATAAATTTATATTCTGGTTTGTGAATTATTAGTTCATTTTTTATTTGCTAATGAAATTTCATAAATAATCAACAGCATTGATTTGAGGTTCGTTTTAGAATTATAAGTAGCATGTGTGGCGTAATAATAATCTATTTTTTATTTGTGTTCATATTATTGTGAAAAGTAGAGTAATAATGTAGAAAGAAGTAACAGTTAAGTATTTAATAGAAGTATAGCCAATGCATGAAAAAAAAATGCTGATAAATTAAAAACTTTAAGAAGTAGTATTTTTTCATTTCTGTTTTGATTAAAAACCGTAATTTTTTTAGTGCTTTTGAAACTCCGATAGATATATTTAAATATTTTTTATAAATTAGTTGAAATATGCAGTATTACGTTTTGCAACCCATAAATTCCATTAAACAATATACTTCATAACTAAAGCTATAGGTGATAGGAGGTTAAATCGAAACAGATTTGTTATTATGTCAGTTACTGACAATGATAACTTTAAGAACAGATTGTTTGTTTTTCTCTTACCTTATGCTTTTCAAAATTTGGTATAATTCTTGATGATTTTAAAAGCTGCGGAAGTGTTGCATTTTAGAAATATTTAGATAATTCTAAGAAACTATAAAATGTAGTTAACGGTCGAAAACCTATGTATTATTAAAAAGTACTAGATTTTAAGTATGTCGAAAATCTAACTGTTTCAAACTGATATCGTTTGGGAAATTTGGGCCGGAAACATAAATTCAAAGTGGCATTTTTACTGCAAACATATTAAATATATAAATGGAAAAATTAATTCACCTTCAAATATTCTTAATCTAAAAATGATTAAAATTTTCAGTTTTAATTATTTGATTGTACTTGCTAACTTATTTAAAGAATAAATATGAAAGGTGGTGACTAAAATAATGCAGTTATATTGTGGAAACTTTTATTTAAAAAGGGATATTTAATTTTTATTTAGTATTTATTAATTCTTTTACTTGAATAATTTATAAATCAAGAATGATTATAATATATATATATATACATACATATATATTAAGTTAAGAGTTGGTTATCTATTTTCAAAGGAAGTCTTGTAGAAACGATTGTTTTGCGATGATGGCAACCTTGCGTATTTGTAGTGTAGTCTCAATAACTATAATTGTTAAAAAGCATCCTGTACTAAAAAGGTATTCTCTAAACAAGGTATTTTTATTTCTTAAATTTAATTGAGACTCATTTTGTGTATGTGACAGAAGCTGTATTTGTATCTTAAGTAAAATAGATGTTGAGATAGTTGCATTTTTAGTAGTTGGATTCTGTTTTCTTTTAAAAACAATTTGTTGCTTTTCGTAAAGTTCTTTCGTTACCGTGTTAATAGTTGAATAATAAACAGGACGCCTGTCACCATTCTTTTTTGAATATTCAGCGTCTTTTTTAAGGTTAAAAACTTCGTTTTAAAATATGTAAGATTTAATGCTTAAGATTTTCTTATTCATTTTTGTGTATTTCTGAACCGGTGTTCTGGAACATTATACATCTGAAATATTTAGGAATTTAGTTTACCAAAGACAGTTTTACTGTAAGTGTTTTTGATTACATACAGTAGCTTAAATATAGTTTTTCGGGAATGAGATCGTAAGTATGTAAAAATATTTTTAAAATTATGTATGGCATTCCATATATTTTCACAAAATTAAGCTTCCTTTTCAGATGATGGATAAAATTCTGTAGGCTTAAAATTTTCCATTTTCAAGTATAATGAAAATACATGCTTTTAATACTTTTGGTAAAAATTTACTAATTTATTTTAAATTATATTGAAATCAAAATATGCTGTATCTCACATTTGTTTTCGGACATTTGTGTTCTTCAGTTTTATTTACAAATAACGATTACCAAATTTTAGAAAAATGACTTTGGTTTTTTTTTCGCATGTATTATTTATCATCTAGTTTAAAGCCTGCTTTTTTTATTAGCCTGCTGTTAGTTATTTACCAAAATGCTTTTGGGAAAAACTTAATTAATTCAAAAAAATTCCGAAAATGAACTCGCTTGCATATTCGGACACTTTAAATAAACAGTTTATATTTAATAAAAGCATGAAAATAACGGGACATTCAATATTTCGTTGAATATCTTTTAGTTAAAATAATTTTCTTCATGTTCCTTGGCATGGATTTAACTAATTTTTTCGTGTAAGAATGTTCTATTTGTTTAGCGTAAGAATTGCTTTTAGTAGAACTTTCGAAGCAATATTGTGTTTTCTTATAATTTTCTTCAATTCATTCCTTGCATGTTTGATAGGATTTAAGTTCGAAGAATATTCAGAAGTTTTGGTAATTTTGGGACATTTTTATAATAATCATGAGGCAATATTTAAGCTTGTATGTTCAAGGTAGTTAGTTATCTTGGAATTTTTGCATTCCAAATTTTCTTGCAGATGTTTTTCTGGTTTTCATTTAAAATATTTATATATTTAAACTAATCCATATCATTTTCGATAAAAATTAAATTTCTTTTTCTGAAGGCAGCGAAACTTCGCCAAACCTCTACCGCTGTGCGAAACGGTAGGCCGTGTGTTTCTCGAATTCAATTAATTCGACTGTTGCCGTGTAAGGATTATGTTAATTTTATTAACAGTTAAATTTTAAGTTCCTTTCCTGTCAGATTCTTGGCTTCAACTTTCTACTTCGGCCAGAACATAGTTTTGGAATCTTGCTGAATATTTAATGAGGAGGAGCGGTATTTAAACCACGAAGTTACAGAGTCAGAGAGAATCAGAGTTTCTGATTTACGCGCGTCTGCCCTTTTACAGTAACAGCCGTATATTAATTCATCTATCGAACTCAAATATATTAAACGTTGACTTTTCTGCGAACATAACAGTGTTCCAATGTAACAAAACTTTTCTTACTGTAGATTTTGAGAATGCCAAGAGTATTTTCCTTATTTTCTTGTTGACAAAGAATTTCATTCATGCTGATCGCCCATTGTATCCATTGCCCTAAATAACTGAGTTAACTTTAATTGTAAACTGTTCTTATAAATCTGCTGAATGCTTCACAGTATTAATTTTTGGGCTGCTGTTTGATTTTTCCATAGAATAAATAAATATGCACTTCCTTGGTTTTAGCTTTGAAATGTTTAACATCAGAGGTAGTTGAATGCTTTACGTTAAAGATTTCGAATACTCTTACCATCTTTAAAAAAGATGTTTTGATAAACTTTTATTGCAAGGAATATTTTGTTGATATTTATTTCACCATAAGCAAGGCTTAAAATGCAGAAAAATAATATATTGGGAAAAAAATTGAAATCTGTGTTTCAGTATTTAGGAGATCTTTGCAAATGAATTTCAAAAATACAAGTGTCCGAAAACAAATGCGAGCCACTGAATACTCTTTATTTAAAAATTTTGCCGTTTGTTGGATGTATTTACGGGAGGAGTATCAGAATTATAAATGTAATTAATTTTTTTGTAAATATTCTATAGGAAATATTTACGAAAAATGTTTAAACCAAAATTTACGAAATGCACTACTTTTCGTGAGTCGTTTGCAGCTCTGGTATGTAGAATACATAAATAAGAAACGGATACAATTTTATTTGTTATTTCATGAAGAAATATAATCTTTCTCATAGTAAGAACTCGTAGGGAATACCAACATTTATTTATTTGTGAGAATTATGTTGTTAGTTTCTAACCAAAAATTAAAATTTTTTCTAAATTATAAATGATTGGATTATATGAATTGTAGTGTCATTAGATTTATTTTGGATCAAAAAACAAGATAATTCGAAGCAGGAAAAAAAAATTCGAATTCCGGGTCTCTCGACTGCTAGCCTGACGTACTTCCGGTTACACCTCGAATGCATCTGGTTAGGAAGGAGGAAAGAATTCCGTACATTCTCTTCCCCCACTTACTGGGCAGCAGGCAACTCAGTCGGAAAATCCAGAGGGTGACAAATTATTCCTTTGATTGTACATGTAGAGCGATTTTGAAATGTTTGGAGCAGCAAAGAGGAATTTGAAGTTTTGGACTAGGAATAAATTATCCGTCGTCGGAATCCGAACTCTGGACTCTCGGATTGCTAGTCAAGCGTGCTTCCAATTATACCACGAAGGCGCGTGGTAAGGAAGGAAAAAAATTCTTTACAGAATATTGCAGAGTTCATGAGGAAGTTCATTCATATCACTGATGGAAGGGAGTTTTCTTAGAAGACTTTGTAAAGGAAATGCCTAGTATTCACGTTATACATGGAGGAAATCACGAAGAGCTCTCAAAAAGCATATTATTTTCCGGATTTGAAAATGGGTCAAGTATTTAGCGATCTTAACCACAGTGTCACCCGAGAGGGTATTGTGGTACTGTGGTGTATAAATAACATTTTAGTTTTACAAGTGTATTTATATAAGTGAATGTTTGATTCATTAATTATATAATCACATCAAATCATTATTACCTCTCTAAAAAGTAATTCATTCGAAGAATATTTCAATGAATGTCGTTTACAGAGAAATTGAAGGGAAGGACATTTGTTAAGAACAATGCGGATGAAGGTGAATTTAGTATGTTCTTAACGATCGGAGATAGCATAGCTCATTCAATGACAAAAATAACTTTGTGTAAAGAGACAGATAATAGCAACCACCTTAATTTTTTTTAAGGAAGTGTTATATTCTTTATTTATTTGTAAGAAAAACATTTATATGTACGGAATTTTTTCGACAATGAAAGTCATGAGAGTGAAGTATTAATCGCAAATAAAATTATGATACTTGTTGAAAATCAGAAGTAAGAAGGCATTAAGCGTTCTTCTATCATCCCAGCCCTCCTTTCACCATTGCTCTAAGATCATTCCTTTTCAAAACTTGAAAGATACATATATTTATTTATTTAGATTATTTTCAAACATGTTTTAGAAAATAACAAAATATATACAAAATGTCGATAAACACCAAAACTTAAATAAAAGTTGTTTTTTATGTTCATAAAATAAAACTAAATACTTAACAGCTAAAAAAAAAGCCAACCTAATTCTTCCCCCCCCTTCGAAACTGAAATTGCCTCCAGAGAAAATTTCCCGCTCCCTGGTTTAGAATCCCTATTGTAGTGTTTGATTATGCTTTTTCAGTACCACAAGAAACAAAATGCATACAACTATCTTAAATTTACCTAATCAACTTGAAAAAAGAGTTTCACATCATTGCAAAGTTATGAAAACTCGGAACTGCAGTCTGTTCATTAGAGCAAAAATAATAGGTTTAATATTTTGAATAAAATTAATTTTTTTTTCTGTTTGATTTGTGAATTTGACCGTTTATATTTATAAATCTATCATCATACCTACTTAGATTACAGATAGATACATATCTGTCATTAATATTTCAAAAAAGATTTGTATTCGAGAAAGAGTATTTATGCTTTTACATGTAACCATTTGTATTACAGTATAAAACGCTTCTGTGTGTTATTTTTATATAAGTTCCTGATTAAAAATTTAATTTCTTTAAAATTATATACTGGTAATTCTCAGAGTTTTTTAACTATAAATTTTTCTTCTAAAACTGCTTTTGTTGAATAGAGGTCATTATTTTCATTCAGATTTAAACCAGGTTTTAGTTAATCAGGCAGAGCCCAGAAATGTTTAACAATCTCTTACATAACCTCTTTTAGAATTTCTTGCGAGATTACCAAGCTCCTTGATGAAACTGAATGGGCCGAAATAAAAGTTTTCATAAGCCTTCCCCTTTTTAAAAGAATGCCTAGCTTTTTAAAATCTTGTACCTTAATTAAAGTCGTATTTCCTTTTTCTTCTCAACCTTTAAAGGTATTAAGAGGAACACTAGTAGGTGTTTATTTTCGAAGGTTTTTCTAAAGTAATTTTGAAGATATCTTTCCCTCATGTTGTCAAGGGAACTGTTAATTTCATAGGATGGATGCTCATGTAATATTTTTTTTTTTTAAAGTTTGGAAGTCCTCAAAGCAATAATAAAGAACATAAAATAAAAAAAATAGTGCTGAAGTTTAGTTTTACATACTTTAAATGGAAGTGTATTTATACAGTCAATTAATTTGGCACTTTTGATGTAATTCATTAAGAAAATAACTTTTCTATGATTATGTTGCGCGGTTATTTTAAAGTGGCTATATATAAAAAATGTAGCAGCATTTTTCGTGGGAAATTATGGAAAATTTCAGCCAGCCATTCACAAACAAGGAATACATAGGAAATGTCAGACGTTCAGTGGCAGTTATTTGTCTACCTTCAAAGGAGCTGTCGGCTGCAGAGTGGATACAATCCCAGTATTCTCTATTTAAAATATATAATGTTGTTTGCATTTCTTCTTCCATCTTGTTTATGGGATTGGTCTTTTAATTTCAGCTGGTTTTCAAGTGCAAAATGAGGAAGAAATCGCGGGGAATTAGCGAGTAAGGAGGTAAAGGCCAACTACATGCTATTTGATACTAGAAACTGCAACAAACAAGTTGCGGTATTTAAAGTGAGGGCCGGTGTCTGTGATGAAGGCATCAAGTTTCTATTTCATAATATTTACATCACTATGAAAAGAATTAATATAATCTGTTGAAGTCATTCATATCAACTTAAGTTTCAGTAGAAAAATTCTAGGGTTTTACAGCTCCGGAAAGAAATTTCGGATTCTGATCTTTGTTAAAGCTGTTTTAAAATTTTTGTTACGATGCAACTTGTAGTAGTCGATGAGAAGATGTGACATATATTTACCAGTGAATAAATACTCTTTGTATTCAGTTTTGTCTAATAAATTTATTGGTCTGGTAAAAGTTACATATAAGGGGCAATTAAAACGATATTTCAGAAAGGGCGTCAAACTAATGATATTTAAAGTAACTCGGAAAGCATTATCAACATATCAGATGAAAACAATTAAAAACGTAAAGTACATACATTATGTTGTTCTTCCCATGTACACAGCTACTTGTTTTCGCTTAAAAATCCCGATAATTACACGAATTTGGAATTGCGCACGTTAAACATTATATATATTATATGATACTTTACTGTTTTTATTTCTTTAGGCATCATAAGCCGTTTGCAATAACCTTCCAAAATAACTTTATGTATCTTAGCCTTGAGTCAGAAGTTATCTTTTTCAACCATATGACCATTTTAGGCACGTTATCTATTGACAGATTTTGGCTTCATACATTGTTGTTTACAGCATTCCCCCCTTCCCAAATTACATTGTAGTGTAAAAAGTTTTGTATAATCTGGCTAACGAATGAAATTTTGAAGGTCTTAACTCAACTGAAACACATCAAATGAATGAAAATGTATATAAATGGCGTGAGAAATTTGTATTGTGACTCATTTTGTGAATAAATAGTAGCTTTAAAATCATATGCTTTCTTGTAGTACCAGAGGGCGGAAATTGCCTTCTTTTACTTCATCTAATGTAGCAACATGTTTACTTTTATATACAAGAATTGAAACAATGACACTTGTATGTGATAATGAATGGAAGCAGGCAATGTTTGAATGCCGCATCTGTAAGTTCAGCTTTGTAATTTAATATGGAAAGTACACTTTAAGGAGCCTTAAATATAAATCTATGGAATAATAGATTTTTATAATAATAAAATAATGGTGTGATATTGATGCTTATCCGAAGGGAATAGGCTATGTATTCTGAAGAATGCGTTTGCGTATTCTTTAATATTTTTATGAAATTTAACACTGGCACTTTTAATATTCCATGAAGTGCAGTGGTTTAGATTTGGTGCATTATACTATTTTCAATACTACTAAGGAGCGTTTATTATCTTTCTAAGGCCTTTATTATAAATTATCAGGATCTTCCAAAAGATTGCTTTTTTTGCTGTATGTTCTGCATATGCATTTTATGTATTACGGTGACTTTTAATGAAAAGTTCGTGATTCCTATCTGTTATTGCCCATAAATTGATAATGGTAAAGCCAAATGTTTGAATACTTATTTCAAAATGTCGCATTAAAGTAAGCAAGTTAGCAGAAGTAACACTAAAAATATACTGTTTCATTTTTGTCATACAGTTTCTTTTTGTACTTTGTTTCTGCTTGTACCCTTCATAAATATATTGTTAATTTTTGGATATTTATAGCTATTCTCAAATCAACTAAGTTCTCAAATCTTCTAAAAGCACCTAGATAATTTTGCGACTGATTTTGAACAATATCCTTATATGAAACTTGGTGTTAAAGGTAGCAGCATCATCAAAAGACGAAGCTAATTAAGTTTTGGGGATGAGGAATGTCAGCTTTGATATTGTTACGAAATGTCTAGCCGCGGTAAGATAGCTTCCCTCCAAATCGGGTTTACGGTTGCCAGAAAATGGCAAGGTAAGGCAGGATAGCCAGATCTCCCATTTAGCGACGAAATTGGCGATATGCCGTAGACGAATGGAGAACCTTCTAGAACGAATGCTTACCGGTTTGGCCCAGAAAGTTCTCGAAAGCAGCCCAAAATCTATATAAACCCTGCCTATACGCTGAGTAGCAGTTGATCGCGACTCTATCGAGTTGATCGTCAGTCTAGTGTTGAGTTGGTCGTCGAGTGTATTGCGAGTTAGTGCATCGCGAAAGTGTGTCTCGTCAGTGTATCGCGAGTTGGTGAATTGAGTGCATCGCGAGTTGTAGTGAACAGAGTCTCGAGAGTACGTAGAGTTCCAAGAACGACCTAACAGAGTCGGGAGTTGTACTCTGGTGCTTTGCCTTGAAGCTGTGAACCATTGACGGAGCGAGATTATTCTAGAACGAATTCTTATCGGTTTGTCCCAGAATATTCTCGAATGTGCCCTGCGTGTACGCGGAGTAGCAGTGTATCGTGAGTTTTCTCGAGTTTATTGTCAAGTGTATCATGAGTTTTATCGTGAAGAGTATCTGGAGTGTGTTAAGCTCCGAAAGCGATCGCCCGAGTCGGGAGCTGTAATCTGGTGCTGTGCCGTGAAGCTGTCTTCACCGTTATAGCCCGATAGCCTGAAGGCTGTGTTGCTGTTGTTTTAGCGTGTTTGTCGTATTTTTTCGACGACTGTAAACGTGTTTTTGGAGTTGTCCTGAGTAACATTGCCTAAATATAAATTGTGTCTGATTCTTCATCAAGTCTTGTCGTCAATCACTCCAAATCCATGAACCCGTGCAAAAACACAACAATATTGAATAAATATGGAGCAAGTACAGACTTTTGAGGAACTCAGCTTAAGCTTCGTTCTGATGGAGAAATTATTTTCAACTTTGAGGTGCCTATCAGAAGTTGAAATTGATTAGTTTATATATTAAGGTTTTGTGCTTAATTCTGCTGAAGGCTTTGTCTAAGAAAATCACTTTTTAAAGTTATTTGAATTATATCCTTCAGTAAGAATGTTTATTAATGCTTAAATACTGATAGTCCGTTTTACATATGCTTTCAAATCCGAATTGTTCAGGATAGAAGAGTATGTAGCGATAGAGAACATCGAATGATATTTAGGATCAATCTTGAACATATTTTGAAAAAAGCAGACAGTTGGGATTTCAGGAGATCTGAATGGGCTGTGATATTAGTCGGTTTAGTTATTTGGAGTTATGTACTTGGTTGTATGCGTGAAAATATGCATGAGATAGTAACATTTCTTTTCTCTCCTTCCTCCGGTTTTTTATTATTATTAAACAAAACAACAAAGTATCGATAAACCTCTGCGCTAAAGGAATTTAATAATTCATATTTATCGAATGTATCGTAGCTTATGTTTAGAAATACTGCTCCTTTTCAAATATTATTAAGTGTTAAATTTTAAATGCAATGATTTTCGCTAGCTTTGAAGACCTCGTAAATCATCTGGTTTTCATGCTTAATTTCAGTTTCATTTTGAATTTGATCTAATGGAGATATGTTCAGATAACTGACGTGCTAAACAATTTAATTAACTACCATTTTCCACTAATTCCAGGTTAATCATCATGATTCACGTATTTAGTGCTTTGAAGGGCTTATTACAAGGTAAGAAAATATACATTGACCATTGGGTGTTCCGACTGCACTACAGATTTACAGTTCTTCTTTTACTGTTCTTTTGCATCATCGTGAGTACCAAACAGTATGCTGGAGAACCCATCAAATGTTCCCCAGATCTGCGTGTTTATTCTGCAGTAGTGGATACTTACTGCTTCATTACTACAACATACACTGTTCAAACAGCCATGAATTTAACGGTAAGAATTCTGAGTGGTGTTTTTTAAATGTTAAATTTATCTGAGTTGCAGTATTCCAGATGATTCAATATATTGATTATTCTTCCTTCTTATATATACTGTTACTCTCTTTTACGTAGTTTTTTTTATGCGTATTTGTAACAAAAACTAGTTTACTTTATGCATTACAGTAAAACCTTGTCGAACGCGGATTTGCGGAAGATGATATACGAGTTATCTTAATTTTTTCATTTAATTTGTCCAATTTTAGAATTTCGTATATACGCGATACGCTGCAGAGTTTCAGCCTCGTTGCTATAGCTTAACCCTTTGTGGCACAGTGTGTCCGGTCTGGACACACCTAAAAATTTCCTTCTGTACGCACAGAAAAATTGAATGAAAAAGGATTTATAGGTTACTCTGAACGTTCTTTATTTATAGTAGATGGCAGCTCAACACAAACCAGTCCATATATTTTAGCCATGTTTAGTTTTTTAAGACCCTCATTTTTCAAAGAAATCTTCCAAATTTTTTAGGGTATAAAAGGATTTGTTTAAAAAAATTCTATGTTATTTTTTTTGGATGTATGCTAATCTCTTTATTCTATATTAGTTTTAAATTTTTACCTTGAAATCTTGCTTAAAATCAAACGTCGAGACTGGGCTCACCGATAATCAGGAGAACTGAGCGTCTGATTCTTTGTTTCTTCGCATCTGATCGGTCAGTTCATTGACAAGAATGCTCGTTTCAGCACTCTTTTCGAAGCTCTATTCAATCAGTGTGCCACTTTGGGCACACCCACAGAATTAAAATGATAAGTGGTATCTTCACAAAATTTTACTTGTGTACTCTTGTAGGCCTAATTAGACTGCCTACCCTTTTTTTAATCAAAACTCCGACTTTGAAAGGTAGCGTGCCGGAGAGGGTTAAGAAATGGTACAAATTGCAAAAGCAATTAGCGACGAAGGAGGTTTTAGTTATGGAGGAAGGAGACGTCTAAGAATGAATCCAGAATGACTGAAGAATTGGTATCTTCACCATTTCACGGAGAAAGCAGGGATAATGAAGAAAATAAGGATCTGAAATTTAAAACGAATTGTTAAAACATGCATAGGAGCTATCTGGTTTTGCAATAGAGTTTGACCTAAAGAAAGAAGGGGGATATTTCATGAGAGGAAATAAAAAATTCTGCGTTTCTTACTGCGAAACTTCGTGTCAGCCAAGCTAATATCACTAGCTTTTTTCAAAAATCGTTGCATTATCTAACTACTAATTAAAAATACCTTTCAATTAACATTTGTTTCCTTTTTTTTTTCTCTTTTTAATTATTTAGGTTTGTTTGAATTATACAGACCTAGTTGAACTATACTTAACACATTTTTTCCACAGAAAGCTAACTTTGCGGAACGCGATTCCGTGCGCACAGTGTCTTAATGACATAAAAGCCACGTTCTTCAGGGTTTCACTGTATTTAGTATTTTCGAGAACTCGACATTTTCCAGAAATCTGGATTTTGAAACGTATTGTGATATTCAAGTATTCAGATATTGGGTTTCTGCAAATAAAATGGCCGATTTTTTAAGAACAGTGGAAAAAGAAGGGAATAAAAGAATAACAATATCTATACCTGTTTTAATCGGAATAATTTCGAGCAACATCTATGCGTCGTTGTATATATGGCAGAAGGCTATTTATACCATATTTGTAAAAACCAGTATCTGGAAGTGATTAAGTCCTCCATTCCGAAATAAACTGATACGCTGTTGTCAAAGTATTTCTTGAACAAAAAATGTCTCAAGCGCCGAAAAAAATGGTAGCTTATTGGGGGAAATATTAGGGAAGTATAGAGGATGAGACACAGTTTCGTATCTAAAAGGTGTTTAAAACTGTACAGTAGTGCGACGAGCATATGCAAAGTTTTGATGCTCTGTCCACTTTTCACGCTGATACTGTCAGCCGTTATCCTAAAGCAGTAGGACTCTAAGGTCAATTCACTAATGTGGGTTGCTTGAGGTAATATTTATCATGAATTGCCCGCATATCTGTACAGTTTTGATCTGCAGTTATCATTTCACCTCGTTGAAAGAATAAGGAATGAGTAACACCAATGGAAAACTGGAACATCTTTCTTGCAAAAGTGTCTTTAAAGGTCTTTTTGAAGTATCTTTTACTTTCAGCTGCTATGACGAACATGTAAACTTTCTTAAGTATATCCAGTTATAAATTACAGTCGTAATTCAGTGCAAAAAAAAATTTTTTTTTTAATTTCTCAAGATACAAGAGCACACTTTCCGAACACTCGTGGAGTACGGAACCCGCTTGTCGAGCCTCTTTACTTTTCTTTTATTTCTTTGTAAGTGCCCACAAAACAGTTAAAAGTACACATTTATTGTACGGGTGATCTTTTATGCAGTTGTGGATCTGGTACGATTAAATGCTTTAATTCATTAGAATCAATGGAGGAAGGAGGATAGCCACGGTGTTCGTTTTGTAACCTCAGATTTCCTTTAAACTAACGCGAAGTGGTTACTTTCATTGGTTGTTCCTCCAGCGAATGTTTTATTGATGTTTTTTACTGTAGCTGCTGTATAATTTCTCAGTTTGAATTCAAAACGTAGTGCTAGCTTTGTAGGGTTTATATTTTAACTAACATTTATTTCAAGTTTAAACTATCTTTCCTGTCAAGCCTTACTTTTCCCTGGAATTGCCAATGCCAGAGTATGTAAATTTTAGTAGAACGCGCAAGGATTCAAATTGTCAGCGGAAGTAATCTGAGTTAAATAGAAGGGAAACGAGTTCGAAAGTGTGCTTTCTTGCTTCACGGGCGTGGAGGTGGCTAGTTAGAAATTGAAGAACCACGCGTTTCGGCCTGTGTGCTTGCCTCGGCAGATTGTTAATCTTTCAACGTAATATTCAGAAGTTTGCTGAATTGTCAGCGGTATTTTAGAACGCGGTGAGGTTAGTTACGTTTAGAGAGCCTCGTAGTTAGTCACTTGTTATTATCTCTTTTCAGTTTCTTATTTTTATTTTACCGCCCGGTCGGTGTGGTTTGTGAGCGTCAAGAGCACGCACTTGTAATTTCTAAAGTTGAATAAAAAGGGATTTAAACCCTTCTCAAGACTTTGTCTACTTTCCAGTTCTCAGCAGTCACCACTATTGTTGCGTGCAGGTTGGAAGCGCACAACATTACAGCTTAATTGACTGTGTTCAGTGATTGACTTGATGCTAATATTATTAAACGAAAATAAATACGATCACTCACGGTCAGCGTTATCACATGACATAAAAATATTGGCATAAATATTTTCTGTGAGTTTACATATTTCATCATATATTACATATGAGTTTACGTTATATAAAACTCACAGAAGTTTCGAATTAGAAAATGGGATTATATCAAACTATACTGTGTACGTCAGACATTTTATGCACTATTGATACCAGGTTTGATTAACTGAATAAAGTAATTTGGATAGCCGCTAACTCTCCCGGTTTTACTTAAAGCTCCTGGTAGATACCGATTTTCGAAATTTTAAATTTTTACTCTGTATTAAGGGAAACATTTCACAGCAATAAATGAAAATAATAGAACTAAATAGACTAAAAAGTGTTCAAATTCCATTCCCCTATCTCTAGCGGTTTTTAGTATAATTTTTCTTATCAGCGCAAAAGGGCTATTAGTCTCGAAACACAATTTTGTATTGATTCACTCTTAAGTGAATGCTGTAAATAAGTTCTTTCACTTTCATTCGAATCTCTCGCAATTTGGAGAAATGTAAATATTTCAAATTTAATTTGTCTGCTTTTGATTAGCAAACTAAGGTATTTAAAAGCGGCAAATGCAAATCTTAAGATTATTATTATCTTACTTTTCAATCCGTTTGCTTTAATTAAAAATCTGATGTGAACACTACATGACTTCTTTATATGGCCTATTCAATTATACACAATTTTTACTGCATTTCATTTAAACTTATTTACTCGAATTCCTGAGAGAGAGAGATCTTATTCAATTAATTCAGTTCTCACAGAAAAAATACATAAATACTCAAAACATTTTTATTAAAAATTGTAAAATATAGAAAAATATAAAAACACCAAATACAGTGAGTGTAAAAAAAATTACAATCAAAATTACAGTTACTACGCAAAAGCAAGCAATTCAGCCAGCGGGCAAGAAAGCAGATTTTCCGACGCACAAAACTAAAAGTTTGCTTTTGGTCCCACTCCCCAAAAAGACACTAAAGGTGTAGAAACTGACTTTTAATTCACTACTCTACTAAGAAAATGTAAACAAATCGCCGTTCTTAACTGGCCACTTAAACTTTTAAATTGTTGATAGTTCTACAATTATTGCATGCAAATTAGCTAAAGGCATAAAAATCACACAATTCAATCACTTTTAAAGCAAACAATGCACAATTTACCAACATATAAGAATAAAAAACTGTGCTCACCAAGCTAGGCAATATAATAAGAATATATATATATCAAGCATAGGTCAGCTTGCAACACCATGAAGAAAAGCAAATATAAAAAAACAGTATTGCCTAAACAGTATGGCATGAAGACAAAATGATTAAATTTGTAAGCATTTTTGGAGGTTTACAAGGATGCGAAGTTAGTATAAACAGCTGCCACCCTGGCAGCTAAAACGGGCCTTACCGCGTTAGGAATAGAGTCAAACTGGACTTGGATGACAGAAACGGACAACTCATACCATGCTGCTTGAAGTCTATGCCATGCTTTATCAATCGTATTAGCTGCATAGGAATTGCGGACTAGTCAACCCATGACCAGATGTCTTCAGTGGATGACAGATTTTTGAGACTGTGCAGGCCAGGCCAGGGCAGCAATCTAATACCCTGCGTATCGTGGAAGGTCAGAACACAATGTGCAACATGTGGTCTTGCATTATCCTGTTGGAACATGGCGTTTGGGGGCCTCGAAGATAAGGCACAGCTACTGGACGTAAGATGTCAGAAATGCATCCATCTGAGTTCAAATTACCGTCGATCCTA